TATTTAATCTTTATAGTGCTTAAAGCTCTTAAATTAGTGTTGTAAATCCCTTAAACCTGTGGGTTAATAATACAATTTTTTTTTCGAATTATAAAAAGTGTTAAAATCTGGTCTCATTGAAATCAATGGCAAGACTTCCATAAATGTCAATGGCACCAGGATTGTACTCAAAGTGCAGTAACTTGTATGCTTATAGAAGTCATCTCTGCTCAGCTCAACCATACTTAATGATGATAATCACAAATAGCACGTATGGAGTCTTTTCGCTTTAAAATACTGTGCAACCATTTCCTAATTAATCTTCCCAATACCCTGATGAGGTAGGTTAGTTTTATCTTGGGAAACCTGTGAGTAGGTCAGCCATGATACATTCTGTTTGAGTTTCTTATACTGTTTTAAGGGTTTGAGGAAACAGATCAAATTTCAGATCAATATCATGGGGAAATGTATTACAAAAGTGTATTTAACAGGATTTGTCATTTGCATTTCAGGAACCATATTGTCCTTTTGGTTGAGATCATTTATAATGTAAAATCTAATATGACTTCTATCTGGGGGATACAAAGCATGAAATCCTAGATCAGGGAGAGCCCAGAAATGTCAACACTAACCTTTGGGTTAATTTCTAAAATATGTACAATATTTACTGTTTTAGTCTCACATTGAAATCAAGACTCTTTGCAACTGACTTCAGCTAAAATAGCACCAAGATGTTAGTTTTGCCAACTGAAAAATGGGCATAATATTTCTTTACCTCCTTCTCAGGGGTGTTATGAAAATTCTAGCAACTAATGTTTGCAAAGAGATGTAAGAACTAAAATTCACTAGAAATAAGCACATGGTCATCCCATGCAAACTCAGAAAGAATGTTTTTTTTTTAATAAAATATATTTATTTTTCTAATTCCATTTATTTTTGGTCTCTCATAAAATGTCTTGTTGAACCTCAATACAATTAAAATCAAATGCTGAAGATATTTTTTTTGTACAAAAATGGAAGAGGGGAAAACATATAAACACTAATAACTATCTTTCTTATTGTTCTACCAAAGTGGCACTAATCCTAGAGAAATTCCAAGCGTTTGCAGGAATGGGATTTATTCAGAATACATATCGGCCATATAAACAGATAGTCTGTGGTTTGGTTGTCCCATCCGCAAGTACAATTTATCAGGGGAACTCTATTTTTAAAATCTATCATTTATTCTGCTTAGATCATCAGCAAAACCTTGTGTCAGAATCCTTGTGTTTTCATGTCTACCAAGGTTAAACGTTGTCTCTCTCTAAAATAATCACTACTTAGCACTTTTGTGTTATTTTATTCAAACAAAATACAGATTGTCAAGCAACAGATGTAGAGATTTATTATTTTATTATATTAGAAATGTAAATACTATCTCTTACCTGAATGGCTCTGACATTTGAAGCTGGCTGTTTTGACATTTTTAAGAGAGAGCCTTACCCCTGCAAGCAAAATGAGAAAGTGTTACAGGCTCTGACATTCAGATAGCAGAGCTTGATAAACTAGAACTTAACCCATGCTGCTTCTTGACAGGTATCCATTTCATCCACCCATCTTGTTTTTCAGTCTGTTTCAGAGTTGCTTAGTTACTCCTCCTGAAAACCTGAGGGAGTGAGAACACCTGAGCTTTGCTGGTTAATCTTTAATAGCCAGAAATGAGCCTATCACTTTCACATTAAAAACTATAATGAGAGCAGATCAGAAATTCTTAAAATGTTAATTGTTTCTTACAATGAAGAAGCATCTAAAGGAAAAATTTGGCAACAAACAATGTACCTTTATTTCTGCTTTATAGAAAAAGGGGTCACTGAAACTGAGCTGGAATCTGGTCCTTACAAATATAAAAATGGTATTCACAAACTTTTGAGAAACAGAAGCTGATTCAACTCCTGATTCAAAAAACCCTTAAAAAGTCTCAAAATTAGAAATGTATTGACTACAAATAATTAAGATTCACTTAAATTCTTATTGTCAGTCCACTTTGGCAATTTTCAGGCCACAGAAGAATTTTCCTTCAAAGATTTGTGTTAAGTGGGTGTATTATTTTTTTAAGTAATATCATAAGAATTTATTTAAAAATTAAGAACAGGGACCATTGCTTTTAGACACGGAAATACCATCGGTTATTGAATTAATATATAATAGTCTAGCCAAATCCTGAGGTATTTACTTTATCATACTCAAGCTAAAGCTAATGAGATCAATAAAAACTAGGTGGAAAAACAGGAACAGCATACTTCTATCAGTTTTAGTCATGTAACCTTGTTGGGCTGAATCTGGACCTGCTTATTTCTCCCTTCTTTTAGGTTTGGGACGTTATTTGGGATAGGCCAATGTAAGTTTTTGGCCTGTTTTGTTATAAGGAAAGACAAGCAAATCTTACCAAAAGATAAGAAATAGCATTGGATGGATGTTAACTACTTTTGTGGCATACTTAATCCCCCAGGTTTAGCCCTAAACTGCTGACAAAAATGACATATAAGGGGAAGAGAAGAGGATTAACAATGGAAACAGTGTAACTGGATCGAAGAAGTCTTCACTATAGGATCTTTACTGTCGCCCAGAGGTAGCATTAAGAAAAAGCACTTTGGTCTATCCATGCCTTAAGCCCTGACAGACAACCTGTAATCATTTCCCAGGGACTGCCATAAAAGGTCTGCAGCTTTGTCCTCACCTCATCTTCACAATGCCTTTAAAATTTTATACAACTGTCAGTACAAAATCTTAACAAAATTGACTTCTAGTATAATGACCTTTAGAGGTATGTGTAATGACCTTTAGTATGCGTCTTCTGACCTTAGGCTGTGAAGAATGCTCTCCAAGCTGAAACACATTGTGTCTTAGCAAATCATTTTGGGGTTTAAGTTGGTGCAGCCAGTTCTAAGTTGCAGAGGTAACTAAAACCCTTTCCACATATAAATTGCATGGCTCCAGATGCTTCTTGCATTGTAGTAATGTCAAACAGGAGACAGCTTAAACAATTTCATATCTATATCTATTATTATCTTTTTAGCACAATGGCCAAGTTCGCTGATGACACTAAACTTTGGGGCATAGCGTCCACACCTGTGG